AAAAACAACTTCGAAGAGCGATCTACTCCAAGTTTTGAAGCAAGAGTGGGCGAAAATCCTACAATCTAAAATTGATGAGTTGATTCTTACGATGCCCCAAAGGATCAACGAACTCCACAAAGCGAGAGGAAGATCTACTAGATATTACTTAAATTATAAATATATCAATTCATGTTAATATGACTGAAAATTTTCATTTTTTCTGAAAAGGTGGTGTATAAGTGTATTTTGAGAAGGATAGGGCCTTTACCTCGACCTAGATGTGATAATTTATATTTTACTTTTTGTTTGTTAATAGGTGTTAATAAATGTTATAAAGCGACAATAAAATATTTAAATTTATAACTGATATATGTCTTTATTTAATAACACAGAATTAGTACAGTACAGACAAACAAATAATCTAAATATAATAATAATAAATCTAAAATAAACTAGATATAAAATGAATTGCAAAAAAATAAAACAAAATACAGGAAAAATCACTAACTTAAAATTTCTTCCTCCGAGATTTCAGAGTGGTGAAATCATCTGAAACATCCACGCGTTCTGCCTTTTCTGTTTCTATAGTCCCCAGTGGAACAGCGGTATGTCTGCGGACTTACAACGTTAAAAACCGGTTTTCGATACCCGTGGTGGGCAGGGTACAGATAGCCCTTTCTGTAGCTTTGTGCTTCACTACAAACAAACCGCTTCTATTCCTCGTCAGTCATGCTCAGTAACATTTTCGGTGTTAGAAATAAAAATAAGCCAACTGATATTTTTGCGCTATCTTTTGGCAGTTTTTGTCAAACATAAAAAACATGGCGCGTGAGTGCGTAAATGTTTATATATATATTTCTTCAATGTTTTTATTATTGACATTCTTGCAATTGGTTGCATCGTCATAGTTACGCCACTGTCACTTGCTCAAGTTTAAGAGCCATTATATTCAAAACTTAAATACAAGCAGTCCTATAATGAGTCAGGCATTTAACTAAATGAATTACCTTCAACCTCAACGAAAAAAAAAAATATATATATATGCATGTAAGTTTCTGTTGCTTTACTGTGATGTTTTCTGCAGTTTTCAATATCTTACGATGAAAATACTAAATTTAATGAGAATTGTTTTAAAAATTAATGGAAAGCAAACCTGGATTGCCAGCAAAATAATCTCGAAAGTATGGAGAGCTTCAAAATCGTCTCCTGTTTAACTTCTTTAAAATCTTATTACAGCCGATAAATTAATTATGTGAATCATCTGAAACGAATAATTATTTGAGGCCCATTGTCTTAAATTATGTAAGTTGCTACTAAAACGTTTTTACTGTGAATAACAATATTTAAACTAAATAGCAGTGTAGGAAAGAGTGGCAAAGTGAGAGTGCTTTGCTAGACATGCAAACTTACAACGAGAGATTGAAAGTATAAGGAGCTGCTAAAACAACTCCTGTGCTGCCAAAGGCAGCTCAATTTATAGGGGCCTGGGGGCATGGCCCCAAGAAAATTTATATAATATAATTTATAGTTGCGATATCAGTTAAATATGTAAAAGTGGAGTGCTACAGCACCCCCGGTTCCAACGCCTGTGCTAAATATATAGGCACAAAATTAAAACATTTGTTTGTTTGTTTGGAGTTAAGTACAAAGCTACACAATGGGCTGTCTGTGCTCTGCCCACCACGGGTATTGAAACCCGGTTTCTAGCGTTGTAATCCCCCAGACATGCCGCTGTGCCACTGGGAGCTAATTAATACATGATACCCCCATGGCCCAGAAGTAAGTCTGAGGGCTTATAACGCTAACAATCTAGCTTCAATGCCCACGGTGGGAAGAGCACAGAGAGCCCATTGTGTAGCTTTACGCTTAACAACAAACCTAAATCATAGTTAGACAATTAACTACAAAGTTGTAAATTTAGTAAATTCGTGAGTAGTAGCACTAAAAGAAAAAAAATGCAGCTCAAGAAATAAAGCAGAAAGACAATATTTTACAGGATATAGAAATCCTTAATATATCATTGTTTACCATAGGAATTTATCTTTCATAAAACTTGTTATGTTAACAGACAGACGATCGTACAAGTATCTCTTTAGAGAAGCTGAGATATATAATACATTTGTTTTATAATAAAATAGAATGAAAAAAAGGAGCTTTTGTTTTACTAGTATTGGAATAAAACGTGAAAATGAAAAAGCTTGTAGAGGAGATTAAGGTAATTGGTATCGGCGATTGTAAAATTACAACACTAAAAGATAAAGTAGTTAAGTTCAAACTCAGATAAAAATGACTTACAAAACATTATTTGCGAAACTTTTATAAGAAGAATAATGCAGTGAGCGACATACATGTTATTATACATAATGTATCACTTAGCAAGGAAAAGAACTTGGGATTTTATCCATTTATTAGAGTGAGGAAGAAAGGACGCATTATACAACTTGAACAAAAGACCTTTTATCCAGGTATTTACCGTTTGATTTTTTGTGATTATTCTTGAAAACGTTTGTGTATAAACCTATTACGAAATATATCATATCTAGTAGTGCATGTTATTTAAAGGTGTAAGGGTAACTTACAAACAAAAATGGGATATTATTTTGTGAACCGGAAGAGAGATGTGATTTGGACGTTTGTAAAGTAATTTAGATTATGCAAAGTTTCTAATTGGATCGATGCACTAATATTTACGCACTGACAATGTGTAATCACGTCTGTCGTTTAAGATACATTATTTAATTTACAATATAGACTTACTCTCCCTTACTTCATTTCATAAGTACTGAAAAGTTATTGACAGTTGGAAATTTTTTACATGTACCTTGGACAAACAGCTGTCACACTTACAAATGTATACTGATAATACTGTAGTTATTAAATGAAATGTTTTTAAGTTACATGCCATTGATAGGCTTAAGTGTTTATATTGCTAAAATACGGGTTCAACACCTGTTGTGGCCAAAGCGTATATAGCCTACTGTGTAGGTTTGCAAACATAAATTACATAGTCAGTTGTACTTTAGGTTGTTACAGTTTCTATATATTTCGTCACATTACATTACTATGTTTACGTATGTGAACAAAATGCTAGGTATAAAAATTACATTTAGGTATTTTTTAAAAGCGCAAATAGTAACATTTCATATATATGTATATTTATTTATGCGCTTTAACACTTGGTTTTACTGATTCTGGTGGTCACGTTGCTTTGTCTGCTGCCCACCCACTGAGCATGCGTAATAGAGGTGAGTTAAAAAAAAAAGAAAAAACTTCACTTACTCCCACTAAGCCTAAATAAAAGTGGGAAACAACAGGGCAGAGAAATCAAATGAGAGTGAGAAGGAAAATGGCGATTTAAGGCCTTTATAATACAATACGTGTTCCGAATGAAGACATGAAACAAACGGGAACTTTCTTAACACAGCTCTGCATTTGTTTAACTCTTATCCCAAGTCAAAATGGTGAGTAACTCAAAATAATATTTTCATATGCGATCCGAATGAATGGTGGCAGTAGCATAGCTTGATTATTTTTGTTGTTCCACTTTAAGTTTACTTAGTTTAACTTTAAAAAAAGTTAATCATTAATGCTACTTTTTTAACGTTAAGCTAAACAACGTGATCTTATGATTGATTCTTTTTGTTTCTCACAAAATAATAATATTGTGATTTTTTAAAAGTTAACCGTAAGTGATACTAATAGTAATACGAACTTGTGATCAAAGCACACTACCTTAGTACCTACATTGTACATTGTAACAATAACATGAATACTTGGATGATTTGATCATAACCAAAAACTCATCCCAATAATTAGTATAGCTAATTAAAAATATAAATGTACTCTTCTTATTTATTTATGAGGATTAACGTTAGATTTAAAACGCAGAGTTTCATAAGTTGACTACTCTCATTCTTATCGGTATTTTCGACCACAAGTTGATTAAGACTTTAGTTAAATGAAATAGGTTTTTATGACACTGACAGTGAACTTTTACTTAACATTGTTTTAACATTCTTTTTTCATTGATTTGATTCTTTAATTTCACTTTTTTAGTGATTATAATTTTCAATTAATATGAAATACAGCATAGTATTTATTATTTAGCAGATAGTAAAGTCTGTATTACTGTTAGTGTTACTATTGGTATTAGTATTGTTATCAATACTACATTGGAAACATGAATTAAGTCGTATATTACAAGTCTAATTTCAGACATAGTTTGAACTTGATAAACTTAATAACTATTGCACTTGAACAATTTAATATAGTTCACAACATAATGGTTTTTTGCTCATGCACTTTGATAATATAATATAGCATATCAACTACTACTATGTCTGTATCATTCTAAGCTGGTCTGATGAACCCTGTTACTGGATGGCATAATGGCAGGTATAGTGTGGATGATATGTTGTTATAGATTCTTCTTTACTTTCACTATTAAATTTTTATAATTTCATGCCAATCCGGGGAAGCTATAATTTGAAGGTCAGTCCTTTCATTGGTAAAGAGTAGCCTAAGAGTTGGCATTGAGTGCTATCAGCAGTTCAAAATTAGGAATGGCAGCAGGTAATCTTAGTAGCTTTGCTACAACTCAAATTTGTGCAGGTCAGATATGTACCAACTGAACTCACACACATAATTGGTTACATAATGCTCATTGTTTGTGTTTACTTTATTTTTACATAAACAGTAGCTATGACTTACTATATTGCTTGCTTATTACAAGCTACAAACGTAATCAGTGTTACTCGAGGTAAGATTGCTATAGTGAAAAAATTACAAGGAGTTAATATTTGTTACTTTTTATTCCCTCAAAAAAATGTTGATTGCTGAATAATTTGTTCTTCTAACTCAACTGTGTTTGTAAGAATTTACTAAACATGAACTCATAACAGATGGAGTTAGCATGGGGTGTAGTTTGGCCTCTGTATTAACAAATGTATATATGTGTTATCATGAAAAATTTGGTTAAAAGAATGTCCTAAAGAAGTTATACCCCTGTTATATGTCAAGATATGTGGAATACTCTTTACTGTATGTGAAAATGATGAACAAGTGAAGTTTCTTGAATATCTGAATAAATAATATGGAAATATTAAATTCATCTTGGAAAAAGAAAAAGACATACCTACTATTCCTGGACATCCTAGTCATCAAACAATAACATTGGAAGAAATATTAGCAATTTTTTTAATTTTAGCTTTCCAAATAATTTGCTGATATGTTTAGGTGACTTTCTGTGACTGTAGGTTGCCCTGTTTTTCCTGTGTACATGTAAAGTACCACTCCATTTTCCTGGAGCTGGCAGTCAGACTTTACTGAACTCCTACTGTAGACAAAACCAATGTAACAGTATTGTTTCATTAACTTTTTTTTGTGTCTGACTGAGGGTTTATGTATTGAAAGTATATGTATATTTGCATAAATACATTTTATTATGAGGTATATGCTAGGCACAATTCAAGACTTTAAGGAACTTGTATGGCTTCTCACAAATCTATCCAGTGTGGTTTTCTTTCAATAGGACAAAAGATATATAAAAGAAAAGAACTAATTGTCTAATGGGTAAAGTATAACGGTCAAATCTTGCTGCCCTGGATGATGGGTGATATAATTTTCACACCCCTATGCTGTTATCATGTCGTTGAGCCTATCCTCAGGACCACCTGACTCTTTGATTCTCCCTGAGTGCTTACTGTGTAAGCTTATTTTATGTTTCTGGTGGCCTTTTCAATTTCAGATGATGGAGATTTTGCCCCAGGATCATGTCCAGTCTCTGCTTAGTCCTGTATAGGTATTGGAGTATCAAAGTTTGCCTGTCACAACTTTTTTACAGAGTTACATACAAAATTTAGTTAAACTGCCTTATTAACAATATATACTAATAAACTTGGTATCAAAACATAGTTTATAAATCAAATTTTATAGAAGTTTTAATTTCTTAATTTCAAAAGGAAATATTTAAATAAATTCTCAATTTATACCTCTGAGTCATATGATGAGGTGGCACTCTGATTTCTTATTTATACTTTTTTTTCCCTTCCCTTATAAGGGCTTCAGATTGTTCAACCAATTTGTAAGATGTATTATAAATATTTAAAAGCCAGAATATAAAGTTTCAACTTTTTATTTTCTTACAACACATACTATAGATATTTACAAACCAGAATATGAAATATCAATTCTTTGCTTTATTTTGCCATATATATCCAACCCTCATTGACACACTCCTCCCCCCATACCCTCTGTCTTTCAGGAAATGCCCATAATTTTTTCTGACATTGTTATTGGACATGCTTATAGCCAATAGGAAGAGCATATTCTAAACTTCATAAATCATATGATTGTCTGTTCTTGCAGTCAAAGCTGTTGATTCACAAGGAGAGTTTGCTGTGTTTAGACTAATGATGTTGTTTCAGTTAGCAATTGAACCTTTTTAATCTATTTATAGGTTAGCTAGAAAGCCAGACAAACTATTGTCATTTTGGGACATTGTGTTCTAGTGCCTAATATGTTTTTTTGTGTTTTAAGATGCATATATAAAAGGTAAATGAATTTTTGGACAACAAATACAGTAATAGAAAAAGACTTACTAAACCATGCATCCAAGTGCAAAAGACTTCAAGGCTAAAGAAAGTGCTAAATGTCTTGGTTTTTATGTTTATTTTGAACAAAAGTAACTAAAATGTAGAAATTAGAAACTTGTTACTTAGATGAGAAAACTAAAAAAAAAAAAGTTTCATAATCTCTCTCAGAGGAATGTAGGTGAGCTGCTATCTTGGTATATCTCAATAGTTTGTTTACCCAAAGCTCTTGTTGGGTGAGTTATTGCTTTGTTATGCTAGTTACACAGTTCAAAGAACAATAAAATTAAATAAAAGCAGCTGTGAAAAGGTTCAGAGCTCTAAAGTTCTTAGGATAAATAACTGTAATTGTTTGTTAGCATCTGCAATCATTGTAGAAAAAAGGTATTTATTTCATTTCAAATTTTTCATCTTTTAATTTACTATACATTGATGATAGGGTAGTATAAAATAAGATAAAAGTATAATTTTTATAAAAAACTTTCAATATACACTTACGAGGTTCTAGAGGTTCTTTAGATGAAATATGAAAGTGTAAGATGGAAAGAAGTATTTTTATCCCTACTATGAAAATCACCTTTCACTCAGACTCGGTAAAGATTTTGTAAGTTCACAAGTAAAAATACTTTATCCAAAAGTGTGATTATTTGTGTACACCATACTTGTAACATTTACTAAAAGTTTGCCAAATTTCATTAAGATATACTTAGTGCTTCCAGAGTTATAGTGTGTATAATTTCATGATTACATGATGGTCATAAGGCCAGTCAAATTGACTGAGTGTTAATTACTAGGTCTTCTTCTTGAGAATTTTTCAGTATTTGCATTCTGACTGGGATAGCTGTCTCGACATTACTTTGGACCACACTTGTTAAAGGTCATCTACTGTAGGGCAAAGAGGTACTCTGCTGAGATTAATGCTTCCTTTTTGGTATTTACATTTTTGGCCAATCTCATTTCACAGAGTGGTCCTATCCTCTTAGTTATTTCAGACATATTTATTCCAGCACCTGTCAGTCTGGTTTTGGATTCTGCTGAAGCTCTATTTGATCTCACCACTCAGTGTTTTTGTGGTCTGGAAATGTTACCTTCCCAATATATCAGCATCCAGTGATACAGTTGTCATTTTTTATGATACTTCTCGGTTCCCTTCAATCCAGTGTAGGTTTTATGTTGGTAAATTAATACCGAAGAGAGCTTAGATAGAACACTGTAGTATTGTACAGTTCTGGAACACAGAGCATCAAATTTGATGTTTGCCCAGCAACAATGTTATAGATGTATGTTCATGGCCTCTTGAATACTGTTGATGATGATTCAGATCAGTTATTTCTAATGCAACATAATGTAAATTTCCATTATTTTAAGATATTAAAATTGACGTGTACACAAATAAATTGTACTTTATAATGTGTGTGAAATTGACAAGCTGTCAAATTAATGAGGGTAACTATAAGTAGCTCTGTCATTGCTAGAAAAATGTCTCAGTGGAAGCTTTTTGAGAAGCTGAAAATAAAAAGTAATGTTTACATGAAGCTACATTGGTTTTATAATGTTGACTGAAAGCATGTCTAGAGATACACTGTATCTGAAAATGGTTTATTTATATCCGATATGTCTTAACCAAATCATCTAGGACAGTCAGAGTTATTCATGTCAGTTATGTGCAAGTGTGTCCTCGATGTGAAAAAGTTAATTGTCATTTCCCTGCAGGGAATGTCCTTTTAAGGAAGTTAAAAAGTTCTGTACTGCTTAGGTGTGGTAACTATTTATCTATCTATCTATATATATATATATAAATGTATATATGTATGAATATAGTGAAGAAAATCTATTAAAGACTTGCAGATACACTGTACATTGATGAATCT